CAGGTTTAAAGCTCTGGGAAATGTTGCCAGTGACAGAGAGACCCACATCTCCCCTGCTCCCTGGCTTCACTGTGTGCCTGGGAGATGTACCCAACCCCCAGCCCTCCTACGCCAGCTGAGGCTGCACTTGGAGCCTCACAACATCAGCCTTTCCCAGGACATGATGTTCCTTCTGGTGAAGAACACAGACTGGGAGATTGCTCCCAGCTTCTGCTTAACCCATGGCCACACTCTCCTTCCTTTGTGACATCTCCAGCAGCTGGCTCAGAGACAGCATCGTGGCAGGGCTGACCCTGCTTTCTAGTAAAGCCAAGACTCATGCTGACACTCATGGTCCCCCCAGGGCTCACCGAATGCCACCCCATACGGTCCTCCACCCCATGCCAGCCTTCCCCCCAAATCACAACTCTCCCAGCACACCTCCAGCCAGTTAATTCTCCCATTGAATAATTTTGTTGGGGGATTTCAGGGAATTTACACCTCACCACTGATATTTTCCTTGGAGACTGACCAGGGTAAATATTCTCATTCCTTAGCTAAGCAAACACGACCTGGGAAATTCCTGTCCCTGGGGGCACCAAGGGCCAAGGGACAGCAGTGCCCTGCCCTTGACCCCGCAGGGTCACCATGGAGCCATAGCCACGGCCAGGAGGGATTCTCCTGCAGAGCTGCCTCTAGCAGCACCTTCATTTACCGGGCACAAAGGAGAGGAGCGGGATCAACCTTCCGCAGTCCAGCCCATCCCGAGCAGTCATCGTGGGGGCACTCACCAAAACCCAGCTCGGCCTCCCCGAGGGTTATGCTGGGGGAGTTTTGTCCCTTCTTGTCGGGTACCAACATCCCCCTTGGGGGGAAATGTCACCCTGGCTGGGTGGTCTGCGCAGGATGGGGCACCTCTCCCTCGCGACACCTCTGCCCCCCGGCCCGTCTGCCACCCCAGCCCCTCTTCATCCCTCATCACCTCTTTCCCTCCTTCCTCCTGATATCTCTCTTTCCACTTTCCGGGTTTAATCCCGGTTCGAGTAACACGTTGCATAAACCCTGGCAGATGCCGCTGCCCCTTGTCCCCCTGGGTGCCCCGGGCCACCGCCAGGCCGTCGTGCCAACCCCGGGCGGTGTCCGTCCGTGTGTCCGTCCCAGAGCCCACATGGTTAACGCGGCCTCGGCCCGGCCCCCCCGGCCATTGCATACCCCTCGCAGCCCCGCACCTATTTCTTGGCCGCCGGGCTCGGAGGTGACAGCAGGCGACAACGGCGCAAGTCCCCGCTGCTCGCCCCCGGCTGTCAGGGAGTGCCGGCACCCCGCACCCCGCGCTTAGCCATGGAGGGCTGCGCCTGGAGAAACTGCATTTTGCCCCTTTTCTTGGCTGTGCTCGTCCAGCTGGGGCTAAGTGTGAAGAGAGAGAAGGCAACAGGAGGGGGACACCACCACAGGGCGTTCAGGGGGTGTTGTGACACCCTGGGGACGCACCAGTTTTGAGGGCTCTCTGCAGGACTCCCCGGGGCAGGGGTGGGGATATGGTGCAGCCACTCGCCTCCCTGCTGCTCCCTGCTGTATTCCGCTAGCTGCATCTAGACCCATGTGCATCCGCACGCCCCAGTAAGCCTGTCCCACCACCGCGACCTTGGCTTGCCGGAATGTGCCTGCTGCCAGCAGCATTCATGGCAGGGGACACAACGCTGGCAGCCGTCCCCGCAGCCAGCAGCAGGGCTGGCCTCATTGCTCTGCTGCCCGTGGGGATGGGGAGTGCGGTGGCTGGCAGCCCCCAGCCTGCTCCCAGGGATGCTCCTCGTCCCACAGGTGGACTGCTACCACTCAGTGAAGGACACCATCTACAGCTACGGGGCCCTGACCCTCGATGGGGAGGAGTACATCCCCTTTGAGAGGTACAGGGGGAAGACAGTGCTCTTTGTCAACGTAGCCACATACTGAGGCCTGACGCTGCAGTATGTTGGTAAGAGTCCTGCGGGGAACGGGCACTTCGGGGTCAGGGCAGGGCCCAAGAGTGCAGCTTCTGGCACACCCCCATGGTCCTTTCTGCTTCGGGGAGCTGGGGAAAGGGTTAATGCCTGCTCCCCAGGGTCTGGCTTGACTGGGAGGGCCCGAAGGGGTAAGGGCAGGTGTGGAGCTGTGCCCAGTCCTCTGCCAATCCACTTCTGGCTCTCCTTGCATGCAGAACTGAATGCACTACAAGATGAGCTGAGAAACCAGGGGGTCGTGGTCCTTGGCTTCCCC